TATAAACCAAACTTGCACAAATGATGCATCAAGGGATGAAAACTCTCAAATTTGCTTCAAATGATGGATTTTAATTACGCTTTCATGATGAAGAACTATTTTGAAGTTTTTATATAGGTCTGTTCCAAAGTATCAGATCAAAATTACATAAATTTTGCATTTTTGGATGTACACTTCTGTTGGTTAATTGTGTGACTTTGCCTTACTTAAAGACAACATTCGTTGAGGCGAGCTCTGTAATCTCTGATTACCTATGTTTTTCACAGTTGTACTACGCTCAGTAAGATATTCTCAAAATCTTTCTCCTATTTAAACATTAAGAAATAATTGGAAAAAATAAATATCCGCCATTTTGTCTTATAAAATATAGCTGCACCATCATTCAGTTGTAGAATATTGAGGTGCAGAGGAAAAATACAAATCTGCAGTGTATTGATATGTGCAAATGTAAAATCCTGAACAAAGCAGAATATAGAAAAAAAATAGGTAAATTAATCAGAGAAAATTCGAATTAAATGTATAAACGACTAAATTTTCTGAGTTAAAGTAATAATGTTAGCATTCTTTTATCATTTTTATTTTTGCATTACACTCAGTGAGATTTTCACACATTATTTCTCCGTTTTGAACGATATTAAGAGAAAATTTAAAAAAAAAAAATTGGATGTCTGCTATTTGAATCGCCATTTTGACCTTTTTAACACCATTTTCATGAAGGCCAGCATTTATTTTCGGATTCTGCATACTCGAAATAGGTTAAAAAACTATGCTGGACCAAATAATAAATATTTGCCGTTAGAAGTATTTTTTATTATAAATCGGACCAGACTATAAACATTGTCGACATTGTTGGCAATGTCAATATAGAAATGCTAACAATCGATGTAGACGGTCTTACATCGTATTGATACTATCTACACATTGCGATGTCGATCGTATCGATTTGATAAGGTGAACTAGACATGAATGAAAAATTCAAGAGGTGGACTCAGGTGCCTAGGATGGGTAAGCATTCCCCTGAGGCTGTTTACCGTCATAACAACAAAGTCGATTTTACAGTTTATTGAATAAAAACCATCCCACAGAACAGAAAGGACTGAAGGAGTGGGAGATTTCAGCTTTTTAACAGCTGAGAAAATCTGCTAAATAATTAAAGGCAAGTCTAAGTAAACGTAAAATTTTTAGCAAATAATTTAAACGGGTGGATTTGACTTCAAATTCCAATACTGCAGCAGGACTAAGTATTTGAATATTATGTAGTATTTCAAGCAAAAAATTGAATTTTGGAAATATTGGACGTAACAGACAATCAGATAACAGCCAAATAACTGAAATAAGCTAGTCAAAAGTACCATCACTCTATAAACTCATGACATTAAAGGAAACAATAACTTAAAATTCTTTGACGCACTGCAGATTAATTTTATGGGATATGTACTTCCCACTTTCGCGGTTTCCTCTTCATATAGTCGTGTTAACAGGTCATTTTAGAAATGGAGTACAATTTTTCTCTGCTGGGGATAATCCTGGTGATGTTTCTTATAAATAAAAGTAAGTTTACAGGGGATCATTTTGAAGTCATATTCAAGAGGCGATATAATCTCAAACATGCTCTTCATAGATTAATTTAAGATAACATGCAACAAAAGATTAAAGCATAAATCACGTTTTTAAACGCCAAAATTGCATAAATATACTATTAGTTAAATCAATGTTATGAATTATGAATCTTACAGTGATTGATAAATAATTGATCACAAGAATCGATGTACCTGTTTAAATTTTACCAATATTTTCAGTATGCACAATCCTTATAATGAAATCAAGTGTTTTAAATATAGGTACATTGTATTCATACGTGTTTTTCTTCTATTGGGTCAATTATGTTATAAGCAGAAGTTTTGCGAGGATTTAATTTTGGCATTATTTGCGAGAGTATTGTGATCGCCAAAATTGAATATCTTTAAAAATTAACTGCGTTTTATTTGTAGTAGCTTCTTTAGTGATCATATTAAAATGGCTAAAATTTAATCTGGCTAAAGGTAAAAAACATATCAATTTTTAGGAACAAATCGCTAAATTTGCGTCTCGCTAAAATTTCAACTTGTACGGTTTTATCTCAATTAGGTGACAGTGATGCAGAACAAACTAATGTTTGGTCAGAATGGCAGAGCTGCGACAAAACCTGCGGTGGAGGGTTTCAATTTAGAGCACGTTATTGTCCAAATGAGCTAAACAATTGTTCAACTTTCGAGAGCCGCCGTTGTAATGAATTTGATTGTGATAAGATACCAACAACAAGTAAGTTTTCCTTATTTTTAATTCGTAAATTCCGCCAATTAAGAAAAAGAACCAATATCCAAGTAACAAATATTTGTTTTGTTCAGTTCTGACTACCAAGAGTTCTACAACAGTCCATGTGAGCACCAATGTCCGAGGCGAGTCGCTAATGAGTTCCTTCTCTGCCTCACCCACAAGTCCGCCCGGTATTTATGACTAACTACTCTTTCTGTTGTGCATGTTAATGAAGCATGCAATTATATTTGTTGTACTAAACGCATGTCTGTGAGTCACTATGATATCATGGTAGAAGATACCAAATGATATACAGAATTAAATAAGAAAGAGATTCAGTTAAACGTGTTCTAATACAATGGAATTTCTTTTTAACCTTCTACCATGATTTATTTACCTCGGCAGATCTCCCAGAAGTTTCTACCGAAATTAAAACAACACTGCTTAGTAAGTCCACACCTAAAATTGTTAGATCCACCAAACCAACGACAACAACCACCACCTCGCCACCGAAACTGGTCGCTAACCCAAGGTCAGGAGCAGTTTGTCTGCGATCAAGTACGTTTTGTCTGTGACCCCCTTGTCTGTCTGTCTGTCTGTCTGTCTATGATTTAACTATGTGGAATGTTGCTAACAAAAAGAATACTGACATTGAATTTATGGAATAAAATTTATGTGTTCTGTCATTGTATGGACTGATTTGTCTAATGTAAATTTTATTCTTTCCTTTATTGTAGGTTTGGTGATTATTGGTGTTCTCGTTTGGAATCTATTTTGAATTTCTCGTTTCCGTGGACATTTCAGAATGAATCCTTTTTAAGAACAACTTCGATAAATCCAAAGAATTGCCATGTTAATACTGAGTATAATTGTCTGGTGAATAATATTACATTATCTATATTTATTTTGAAAGGTCTGCTAGTATATTGTCAAATTCAATCACAAACTGTGTTTATTTAGGGAATATATTTTTGATTTTGAAATAATTTTTAGTGTCTTTAGTGTTTTTATAAACACATGCACGCCAGGAAATAATTCTAACAAATGAGTTTGATGATTCATGAGAACAGGAATACTTCCTCTAGATGAGCCAGATGTATAACACGTACCACTTTTATAGGAAATTAAGTACAGACAAATTGTTATTCCGTTAGGTTTAAAATGAATTTGATAACGGGAGACGCATGTATCAGTCAATTTGTAATCGTTTCATATTGCTGCAATGATTATATTTGCCCTCCTCATTTACATATTTTATTTGTCATTTATATGTATTCATGAAATGGAGTTTTATGTTTGTTATAAGTATATATTTATATATATTTATTGATTCACTGTAGTTTATTAGTTTTTTAAGTAACTGTTTAATGTCATTGTTAAAGGCAAATGTTAGGAAATGTGTAATCAAAATATTTTTTTTATTATAATGTTTTCTCCCATGCAATTTTGTGAAGATTAAAAAAAACTGATATTTTAAATGTGATATTGCAGTAATACTAAAAACAGCATCCGGAGCAAGTCTGGTACTAATTCGAAATATATCTTACGTTTTCCAGGCTTTTGAACGATATTGATTTTGTACGTGCCAGGAAAACGTCAGATATTTCGGACTAGTCTGGTTAACGTGCAGCCTTTCGAGGAAACCTCAAAGCAAGTCGCACTATGAATGGCTTTTAAGAAAAGTAAAGTTTTCTATATAAATCTGTTCATCAAAAACGTCCAAATTTCCCTAATAAAGTTAAGTAACAAAGTATTAAAAGTGTGTATTTTTTGTTTACTATATATTTACATCAACTGAATATTTTTGTCTTGATTTCTTGTGAAGCCCATTGCCATGAACAACACTGAGCAAGCCCCGTATGTAGTTTTCTTGAACAATGGCTGTTTCATCAGTTCTACATACAATGACATATTCATTGCATTAAAAACAATAATTATTAACAAACTTAATTTTACTATGAATGATTTTTAATACAGATGTAAATATAAACAATAAAATGCTTTCTTTGGTTGTCGCAGCTATTGCAGAAAAAATACATAACCCGCATTATAAGCGGGTTATGTAATTTTTTTCTGCAATATTGCTGCGACGTTAATTCCCGTACTAACAACCAAGATAGCATTTTATTATTTTTAAAAATATATAAGTGGTATTGAATTTTGACTAGGTATACGCTTGCTTTGTACAGAATAATCAGCGTTATTATTATAGTTCTAATAAAATGGTGAAGATAACGAACACAATCGCAACTTCGGGCCTTTCCGACTAGCGGAAAAACAACCCCGAGGTTGCTTTTCCGACCTCTAATGGAAAGACCCAAGACGATGCGATTGATAACGAGAAGTGATCGGGCTCAGGAATTTTATATATACTGTTCAAATTTTAGAGAAAATACCCCGGGCCCCTGGAAATTCCAGAGGTTGGATCGGGTGCATAGGAGGAGTAAGCATTCTCTGTGGATTGATCACAATTGCCGTGAGCCCTGTGTTTTAAGTAGTCCTTGCTTGCAAATTAAGTGTAAATCAAGTTGATCAGCGATTATCGTTTTACTTCGGAAATGTTTGAAATGGGATCCGTCCACTTAAAATTCGATTTTAAAGTTATTAATTTTGTGAAAGGGCAAATTATAGAGGCCAAACAAAAAAAGAAATATACTTGCATGCGATTAGAAATCCGCTTTATTGTTATTCCATGCTCAGTTTCCTTGAGTACATTTCTTGATTTAGAAATCAGATGACATTTGGCCCAATTTGAAACATCATCATCATGTACAAGAAATGTTAAAAAAAATGCTAGAAATTTCGTTTTTAGTATATGAATTATAATAGTGTCGTTGTATGTATATATGTTATTTCTTGTGACGATATTCTGTCAACCATTGCACCACAGCTTCCGGCTTGTAGTTTTCTGGTCCAGCGCCTTGACCAGCATATTGAATGACGTCATCATATATGATAAATAACCTCTCAGGAACCGCCGCGTACTTAATAGCTCCAGAATTGTCCATGGTATCAATGAGTAGTGGACATGGACATCCTTCCTCCAACAGCAGCCGAGCCGCTCCCAGTCTCTCCTCTTGTGAAGTGTGGGAACTTAAGTGAGAGAATTTGGTACCTAAGACAACCCACCCTTCTACCGGGTGTGCTTCTCTGACGTAAACAACGATGAAGTCCGCAATGTCCGAGAAATCAGCAACGATTTGCTTGAACAACGCGAACTTCATCATGAAAGGAGGTCAGGAACAGCTGCCAAAGTTCACGATCAGTGGTCTCCCTTGTTTCTGGAAATCTAATAGCTTCATTATCTTCTCTGTCTGGACATTAACAAGACTAAGGTTTGGCGCCACTTTACCGACGATGGCGGAGCGTCGAAAGATCTCAGTGCCGTGGATTCTGGTCAGAGTTTGAATTGTTTTGTACGACATAATT